ATCTCAAAACTGTCCCCTTTGCCTGTATACAACAGATATCACTTTGGTTTAGGCCACCCACTGTGTCTCAGTTTAATTACTGAAATAATTTTCTAACTTGATCACCATGCTTCAAACTGTGATTCCTTTAAATAAGAGTTTCTCAGCCTTGATGTTATTATTATTTGGGGTTGGATAACTCTTTGTTGTGGCAGTCCTATATATTGTAGGATGTTTAGTATCCCTGGTCTCTATCTAATGGATGACATTAGCACTTTCCAACCCACCATGTGACAATCAAAAATTTCTCCAGTCATTATTAAATGTTTCCTGATAGGCAAAATCACTCCAGTTGAGAACCACTGCTTCAAAACATTCCCCACAGTATGGCTTGATGAATTATTTTTCTAAAATTCAGATCCATCACCCTCTTGCTTAAAGTCTTACAAGGATTTTCTACCATTCCAGAGAAAGAAAATCTTTTAGTTTAGCTTATAAAGCCCTTATAAAGTCTGGCACCTGCAAACTCTCTGGATCAATTGATTTCAGCTAAGGTTACTGAAAAAAATTATACAACCACCCAGTGGTTCTGATATAAACTCCCGCAAGCTCTCCCTATTGACTACTTTTTTAGCCTCCTGTCTCACCATTCATGGTAATTTTCTATTCAATCTGAAATTCTCTCAACTTTCTATATTCTTTCTTATATCCAGACTTTGGCCCATGCTGTTCCCAAAGCCTAGGATGTCCTTTCTCTATTCTACCTGTGTCTAGCTTAATTGACACCTGCCTTAGGAGGTGTTATCTAATATACCCCATTCCATAATCCACACCCTACTTTTGTCAGCAAGGGTGGATAGAAACCCTCACTTTGTGCTCCCATGATGACCTGTGCTCATCCCTATATTTCTGGGTAGCCGAGGCCTGCCTTTTCATCTAATCTATAGTTCCGTACATCATTATATCTCAAGTACCAAGAATAGTGCTTGTCACAAATCAGGTGCTAAAAACATATTTGTCGAAAGAAGGGAGGGAAGTAAGAAAGGCCCAAGTGACATATAAACTGATCCCTGATGGACTCTTGTGGGCCTGACTGTCTATATGGTGAGTCATAGGTTATGTGATAATGAGATTGACTAAGTTATTTTAGTTTTACAGGGAGATGTCAGAATGACAGGCTGCCCCTGCAATGAGATCTAAGTATTTTTGCAATACTACAGCAGGTGACAAGTTCACTTACATCACAGATTTCTATAGGCTGACAATACAAAAAAATCATGGCATCTCCACATAAGACTGTTTGCAGTGAAATTCTTAGTATCAAATGTTTTAGGGATTCAGTGGGATGGTTTGTTTGGTTTTTTGTTTTGTTTTTTAAAGAGAGAGAGAGAGAGAGAGAAGAGAGAGAGAGAGAGAATTTTTAATATTTATTTTTTAGCTTTTGGCGGACACAACATCTTTTGTTTGTATGTGGTGCTGAGGATTGAACCTGGGCCGCACGCATGCCAGGCGAGCACGCTACCGCTTGCGCCATATCCCCAATGGGATGGTTTTTTACAGTAGGTTTTATTTGGAACTCAAATTATGGAGATCAATATGAGCTCTACTTCAGAGATCTGATTAAAAATTAAAAATCAAGTTTTCAACAACCCATTTCAGAAAAACAGTCACTGAGGTAATAAAATCAAAGGGGGCAAAGGCTTTTTTCTATCTTCCTCCAAACAAGAACCAAAAAAATGTTCCAAAGTCAGACACAGTTATTGTCAGAAATAAAAGATGGTTTGGTACAAAGAGTCAAAACTATAAAAACACAAGCTGAACACAGCTTATTTTACTATAAACAACTATGAGAATTATATCTGGAATGTACTTGGGCCACATTTAACTAATCAGTTAGAACCAAGAAAGAATTCCATGTACCATTACCAAACAAAAGTCGTTTAAATGTCCAGTATATGGAAATGAAATGAGTTACAGTCTGGGATTTACTTTGAAATACTTCACCAACAACAATAACAAAAAGGAGATAGACTATGTGAGGTAAATCTTGATAAATATTGAAGCAGGATGATGAGCACATGGGTTTCCTTATATTAGACTCCCTACTTTTTTGTTTGAAATTTTTCTGAAAAAAAATTCAAAGTCAGAGTAAAAATATTAGAAGCCAATCTCATCTACAAATGTTAACTAAAATATTTCAGAGAGCCACTTACTTTAAGTAACATTTGTTATAAAAATATAGCACAACAGGTTAATCTGAACAATACCTCCAAGTTTTCTGTAATGAGATTTATTTTTAGGTTTTGTGCACAATGAGCAATCTAAGAGGTCATTTTTAACTTAAATCTAAAATTAAATTGAAATTTTAAACCTACATAAACTCTAAGCTAAGTAAGAACTTTGAAGGTATGTTTTAGATTGTTGTTTAAATCAAAACAAGCAAATGACTAGTTTTGTGTAAGACAGTGTAGTGTAAGTAGCTGGGCACGGTGGCAAAGGCCTGTAATCCTAGTGGCTCAGAAGGCTGGGGCAGAAGGATCACGAGCCAGCCTCAGCAAAAGCAAGGTGCAAGCAAATCAGTGAGACCCTGTCTCTAAATAAAATATAAAATAGGGCTGGGGATGTGGCTCAGAGGTCAAGTGCCCCTGAGTTCAATCCCTGGTGCCCCCATCCCCACAAAAATATAGTGTAAGTGTAATTATTAAAAAAAAAAAAAGTCAACAATGTTTCTAATTTGACATAAAAAGCTGAGCCAAACAAAATCACATCAACAAAGTTGAGCAGCTCCTGAGACTTATAATGTCCATTTCAGTCAAGATGCACATCTTTAAGCCCCCAGGGAAAGCTTTTCACGTTATAATGCCAGGGATTCACTTGAAGAGTAGCTCTCTTTTACTCCTCCAGGAAAGCTAAAGAAGTGCACTGAGAGGCCAGGTAGAAATGTGCCAAAATAAAATCAGCATGTCGACATCAGTAAAAATTAATACAATTAAACACTGATGTTTAACTATCTCTAAGACTATATAAGTTTTACAGATAGGAAGGTTCAGATCAGAGATCATCTTACCTGCAAAAGAATTCCCATAGATCTAAATTTTGAATTCTCTGAATTCTTTTAATTCGGTTACGATCCATTGTTTTCCCAAAGAGACTGGCAACTTCATTATATTCATGTGTTTGATTGTGCAGAGAAATAAGCTGGGAAGAAAAGAGTACATGGTTTTGTTACACTCCTTTCTAATTTCTTCAAGGGATAGATAGTCAGACCTGCTCTTACCTGATATGGTACTTCAGTATTCACATTCTCCCAGTGTGGTGGCATAGGGATAGCCTCATTTTCACAGATATAACTTAAAATAGCAAAAAATAAAACAAAATATTAGAAGCTGATTATAATTACTGCCAGTAATTTAGTATTTTCTCCGAAGCTAAATTTTCATGTTCATGGTATGATGTCAAATGCAATAAGTGCAACCCTTTGTTTCTTTATTTAAAAATATTTATTGAATGCTTACTGTGTGCTGTTTTTCAGGTATTGAATAGTAAACTTTGATGAAAAATATCCAATCTTACACACCAATAAATTTCAAAAATAATTATATAGTTCTGTCTTATTTTCTTTTAAGTTTCTAAAATTTCTTTAAAATGTAAGGAAGATTAGAGAAAAGGTATTTCTAAGGAAAAAAATTAAACTCCTGATGGAAAAAAAAAAAGCCCAAGCTCTTATTTATATTGCCTACTGAATAAAAGTGAAACTCTTATCAGCCATTTATGTACTCCAAGATCTGAGTCAAATCTAAAATTCTCTTTCGTGATCCACATTAATTCGCTTACTGCAGTCAGAAATCTTTTTAAAACTAAAGTGTCCAAACCACTGGATGTGAGCAAAGAAAGATAGTGATGATGGGGTGTTTAATAGTAAAAGCTAACACTCCAATCCTCTCTGGTGATTGAAAATAGAAAAAATTTTAATGGAAAAAACTAGTTTCAAACCTATCCTTAGTTTATTTTTTCAAACTCATTTTAATTTTAGGAAAAAACAACATCATTAAAAATGACTGTACATAAAGAAGAATGCAGTGGGAAGTGTCCCTCCAACTCCAGTCCTTGTTATATCCAATTCTTTCTTCTTGCTTACTCCAAGTAATTACTGTTTTTAATTGTTTGTTCTTTTGGAATCTCTTTAGGTAAATATAAGCCAAATTATTCTTTCACACAAATGGCAGCATAAATAGCCTACATTTCTGCATCTTTTTATCCACTTAATCTGAGATCTTTCCATATTAACACATAGAAAGTATTCTCATTCCCAGTGCCTACAACAGAGTTTGGCATATGATAGACACTCAATAAATACTGGTTGAATAAATAAAAGAACTCTAAATATTTTTCAGATGCCCAGCATTCCACTGTATGAGTGAGTGTGTGTGTGTGTGTGTGTGTGTGTGTGGTTTATTTATCCAGATTCCTATTGATGATACTCAGCTTGTCTTTCATTTTTGCTACTGTATTAAGAACTCCACAAAGAACAAATTTGTCTATTTATCACTTTACATGTCCATTGGTCTATCTGAAGAATAACACTTTGAAATTAAATTTTTGGTCAAAGTATATATTTATTCATGATTTTGACAGATACTGTGCAAATGCCACCTTATTAACATTCTCACAAGAAATATAGAGAAAGCCTATTTGCCAAAAACCTCTCCAAAAAGGTGTGATATTAAGCTTTCAAATTTCTGTCAATCTGATAGTTTTTTTTTTTTTAAGCCTGATACTGATTTGTATTTCTCTTTTGCAGCTGTGTGAATGTTCAAATTCTTCATCCATGTTGGTCTTAGAGAATTCTAAAATAACTCTGAATTAGTTCTTTCACTATAACAAGCAAAAAATTTGTCCTAAATGTCTAAGTATCTTTTAGCTATTGTAAAAACAGACAAAATTTTATAGTCCAAAGCCTGAATTAATTCCTTGTCAATAGGAGGTATAAATTATTTGCTTTGCCTGAAATAAATGTTTAATAGTCTTCAATGAACATTTCTACGTCAGCACCTGACCTTCATCACTCTATTTTTCCTCTTTAATTAACTCTCCCCTTTTATTATTATCTTGCATGCTGTCCTCCATTCTGTTTAATTCTCTCCCTCTCCTGCTGTTGTTATATTATTTGTACAGTGTGGATAGAACAGTATTTGACCCCACCTTATGCTTCTTACCCCCATCAAAGGCATACCAGATAAAACACATCCAATAATATTTTCCATTATAATGTCTCATTTTTCTCCCAGATTACATGTTCTTTGAAGATAAGCAATTCCTTTTTGTATTCCTAGTACTAAAGAATGTGACCATGATGTAGCTGGAAGAAAAATATTCTCTATATTCCATAGATGTATTAGCACATTTATCATAAATATCTGAATAACTTTTAAATCATAATGCAAATTATAAGTCACAAATATTGAGAAACGAACTGATACAAACTTAAAATATTTATTCCTTTGCCCTAATTCTTTCAATTTCTTTCTTTTGCTCAAATCCTTTCAAAAATTCTCCTTGGAGGAAGCAAACAGGTATTTTGTACAATTCACATGCTACCATTTTAGTTTTGTTTTGTTTCATTTTAAATTCTTTGAAAAAAAAGAATTTCAGTATTTGCTTAAGGAATCATTTTTTTAAAAAAGGAGACATGCTCTAAGGTTTTTCCCTTCAACCACATTCATATGAATAACAAATATTTAATCTGGCATGTACACCTCTTTTTTCAGACTATGTACAGCCAGAGAGAGCAAAAAGAAAATCTTCAGTGTAGATCCAGGGAGCTGTCCTGTTGCCCCGTTGTGCAAACATTTTCCTTAGGTCTCTTTTAATTGCTAAAGACTTGAAATTACTTCTAAGGGTTGCCTAGTAGAAATCAGTAGAGATACAAAGTGGGCAATTACCCAGGACTTATGACTCAAATAATTGGATGGTTCTGTTGAGAATATCTTTAGTTAAAATTCAAATTTACCAGTGTATTATTTTAAGGGTTTATTACAAAGGCCATAAGACATTTTGTAACTACTGTGCACACTATTCTCAAGAATTGAAAACAATAAATAAACAACAAAAGGGGGAAAGAATAGAAGAAATGATGACAGAAGATGATTGGCTATTTTATCAACAAATGAGAGACTTAATATTTAAAAGGTCAATTTAATATATAAAAAGTCATTTATTGACTCACTAAAACATTAGTCTATGCGTTTCTCTATCAAATGGCAAAATACCGTTTCTGCCCCATTCTCTTTACAATACCTGAAAGCACTGATAGAAAAAGGAGCCCTTTTTATTAAGCGCTGCTTTCCAGTGGTGAGATTCATTTGCTTCATTTCTGTACACAAAGACAAAGATATTAGATAAGCCATAGAAACATACTGTGCTATAAAATGTCACGAAGATTAGTCGTCACACTACATGATGACCAGGAATCATGGAGATATGGGAGCAGCTGACAGGCAGAGTATATTAAGATACTTTACCATGCATCTATACATCTTGTCATAAAGGTGCTCTTCAGGGGAGCACAGCTTCATTGCTTGACCTAAGCTCATACATAAAGATGCTAATTTTATACACTGCTCAGTATGCAGGGTCTATTCCTTTCTGTACTGCGCTTAGGTTATACCGACAATAAAATACAAGAGTTCTAAGTTTAGGAAAGTTAAGAGTACTAGAAAAAGAAAGAAATTATCATATTAAACCTTCTGTTTGGCTTATTAAATGGAAAAATATACTTTGATTTATTTCTCCAAGAATTTTGGAAATGAGAAAAGAGATACATTACCATTATAAAACTTGCACAACTCACAGAATTTCAAAAATTTGTATATTTCTTGCCTTCTCTTTAAATTGTATACCTAAACCAAAAAAAATAGAAAACCTGGCGAGACCCAACACATACTTATATAACCAATTCTAGTGATAAAATATTAATTAATAACTAAATGTATCATTTTCTTCTTTCATCTATATTTCAGCCTTGGCAATATTTACCAGATCCATGTCTTCATTCCCACATAAGTCTTAATTCAAGATTCTAGCCAGGTTATCTTGTCTACTTGACAGCATTTCATTCCTAAACAAAGAGTTCACCCACCCAGGCAAGTGCTAATGTAAAGTTTGTCCTGGCTTTCTGTATTCTCCTAGACTCGGCACATACTGTCATCATTACAGTTCAAGGGAAAAAGCAAGATCTTCTCAGCACATAATGCAAAACCTGTAGTGCCATCTTCTTAAACCATCTCATTTTGAGTTTACTTTTCTCAGTTTATAGAGAGAAGCTGAGTTGACTAGTAGCAGAATGGTTGGGGCTAATAACTTTGAAATAGTGTATGTTAAGTACTAATAACTATCTTTGAAGTAATATCACTATATAGAGGGTTGGGGAACTTGAGTTATTAGTATATGTAATTTGTTTGATAAAGATATTTACTTTTTGTGATACTGGAGATTGATCCCAGGGGTGTAACACTGAGCTATAACCCCAGCCCTTTTTATTTTTGCGACAGGGTCTCACTAAATTGCCCGGGTTGGCCTTAAATTTGAAATCTTCCTGCCTCAGTCTCCAAAGTTGCTGGGATTATAGATACGTACCATCACACCTGGCAAGATATTTTTTGATAAACTTAATTTTCTGACAGAAAGCTTTCAAAATATGTACTTTACTAGCAAATATTCTTTTAGGATCAATGTGGCTTGCTAAATTATCTACTGAATGCTTTAATAAACCTCATTCTCTTCATGAAGCCTGAAGCCTGTATATATCATTCTATTTTACCACTGCTTCAAAAAAAATGTCTAGAAATGTCTACCACACACTGTTTGCCTATACTGTAGCAGAAAGTCAAATGTCAGGATCCTCTAAAAAGCAGTTTATTTGCCTAATGTCACTAAAAAGAAGTTATGATTATTCAGGACTGGGAATCTAAGTTTTAACTCATGATAATGAAAAAAAAGCAAGAAAAACAATTTTGGTGAGGAAAGTAATTATTAGATATTTGTTTGCATCAACCTCTATCTGGACAAAACTCCTTCACCATTTCTAGGCATTGGCTCGTCCAAAGGAATTTCAAACGTTTTAGCACCCTGTCTAACTACAGCATACTACTAACACAGTCAGAAAGATACTACTCCCAGAAATTGGGAAAGAAAAGATAGAAGACTAAGCTGTACAGCAATCAAAATGTACTTTTGTTAAGAAAGCCTCCCCATCTAGGTCTTATTTGCCTCTAAGCAGTAAAGAGTGGATACTAGGGCTGGGGTTGTGGCTCAGCGGTAGAGTGCTCGCCTAGTACGTGCGAGGCCCTAGGATCGATCCTCAGCACCACATAAAAATATTGAGTTCAACTACAACTAAAAAATAAATATTAAAAAAAAAAGAGTGGATACCAACAACTTAAAATTTAAGGGACTTTCAAAAAATTATTGGTTCTTTTTAGTTATACATGACAGTAGAATCCTTTTTAACATAATTATAAAAGCACAGAATATATCTTATTCTAATTCAGTATCCAGTACCTCATATTCTCCTTTCCTCCCCACTCCCTGCTCCCTTCCTGCTATTGATCTTTCTGACTCTAAAAGGTTTTTCATGGTTTACCTAAAAACATGACCACAAATCATAGATGAAATAAAAAGTGTGGCAGATTTCCAGATTAGCTGGTTAATCTATGAAAGGGCTAATGAAATCAGAAATGGCAGAAGGCAATTTCCATTAAAGAACTAGTTTTCTGGCCAAGACACCAAGAGAAGGGTCATTCAGCTAAACTTTGGTCTTGAAACTATCATTAGCTAATTATGACTTTCTCACTTAACATATGTTTGACCTTTAAAATTAAACAGTTCCTAACTGTTTCAAACTTATTTCTAGATGGATTGGATGATGAATAAAACAAGAGCTATAAGTGGTGGCATTTACCTGTAATCCTAACTATTCAGGAGGCTGAGGCAGGAGAATCACTTAAGCCCAGGGTTTGAGGCCAGCCTGGGCAACAACAAGACCTCCATCTCAAAAACAAACCAACAAACAAACAAAAATCCCAAGATCTATAAAATACTTTGTGTATTTTAGAAAACAAGTATGACATGAACTCAAAATATATGAAAATTTTCACAAACATTTATATATATATATATATATATATATATATATATGCATATAAACATGCCTTTATTAAAGGCAATGTTGCTCAAGAAGATTCAAGTCTTGAATATTTATGGGGCAATTTTCATGTGCCACAAAAAAATATTTACTTCGCTATTTCACTGTTTGTAAATGTAAAAACTAATCTTGATCTTCAGAGCTATAGATTACTCTATCAATATACTAAAAACATAACCATTAGGAAAAAAAAAAAAAACATACCTGCGAAGTCTATCTTGTAGCTGAATTTGGAAGTAGTAAAAGAAATGGAGCCACAAGGGTTTGTTCTGAAGCTCTTTTCGATATCTTCACTACTAACTGAACATTGAATATTGGTATCTGGCTTTAAGATAAATCAGAAAGTTTCATTTATCAGTTGTTCATATTAGGGGTTGGCCAGAGAAGTGATACTATGGTCATAGCAAAAGAAAATGGAAGAATGAGGGAAACTTACTAACCATCTGTTCTATCTCCCAACACACAGGGAAGATCTCAACTAAATCCTCATACTGAAAATTGTTTAAAGATGTCCAGCAAAGAAACAACAGGTTATGGTCCCCTTCAACACCTGGGTAAATGTTCCTTTTTACAAATTATTACACTCTTCACAAAGTATCCTAATAATTACACTAACTGTACTTTCTAAGTGGTTCAAAATTTTAATCTTTAACTTTAAACAGCTTGGTGAGGAAACACACATACACACACAGGCTTGAGAACAGGTTCAAATCTCAGTTTAACTCCTCTGTGACTCTAGACACACTGTGTTAACTTTTCTGAGTTTCACTTTTTTTGACTAGAAGACAAGAGTTTTAATATCTGCTTTAGAGTTGTTATGAGCATAAGAGAAAAAAATATGTGTACAGCACCTAACATAATACTGGCATACAAAAGGTGTTTAATGTAAACTTGCTCTGCCCTCTCTCTCTCTCTGTCTACCAAGTCAAACTTGGAGCTGGCTCAGATGTCGGATATCATGCAACTCTAGTAACACTGACACTCTGAACATACTGTAAACATACTGTTTCTTCTAAATAAATTATTGTGAAAACCTGGGGGAAGAAAAGGAAAAGAACTGGAAGAATTTCTAAGTTTTCTATTATTTAAGCTATTTGATTTCCTTAGGGTTTGATTTCTTTCAAGTTTTGCATTCATGCTCATTTATACATCTGGAAGATGATGCTATAAGTGAATCAAACCCCTGCTGCTGAAATTCAAAGATGGGAGATACCTGAAACATATGCCACTTCCCACATTCTGCCAGGTAAAACCAGCCCCACTGGGTATCTGATGTGTCCATGTCATCCATTTCACTATCCGTCGTTTTGGATAAGAATTCTTCTGCTTTGTGAAACATCTCCTGAAAAGCCAGGAAGAAGTAAAGAAAGAAATAATTCTATTAATAAACAATGTCCTTTTGTATGGATCATTTTACTTAAAAGAATGGTATTTCAATGTCTTTCCCAGAGTGGTACTTTAAAACAGCATTCTATCTTACATATTGGCTCTGAAGAAAAGCATTTTAAAATGTTGTATATTAGTGCTTAACAAATCAGGCAAATAATCCTCATGTGAGATGAGATATAGCAGGGTCCACTGAACCCTTTAAATAAGCCACATCAACATTTATGAGCACCTCAGGTTTTCAGTATAGCCCCAAAGTATTTTTTTTTTGATTCAGCATTCATCATTTTATTGGCATAGGAGGTGCTTAACAGTTTTTCATCTTAAGGAATGCAATCAAAACTCTTTTAAAGTTACCTCAAACAGACCTGTAAACACTAAATTTGATAGTAAAGATTTCAGAAAAATCATTTTTTCACTAGTAATTCTAATCAGTTAGACTACAGTTTTTATTTAATTGGAAAAAACTGATGTTATTGGACTTTTCTAAATCATACTATTATATAGTATAGAGCCTTTTCCCTTTGAGGGTATTTTTATTTCTACTTGTCCAGTTATAAATGACAAAGAAATGTTATTTCTGTCATATATTTTCATTACATTTTATGACATTGCTAAATATGGTAACAGCATTTTTTAATATTTATTTTTAGTTGTACTTGGACATAATACCTTTATTTTATTTATTTATTTAATGTCGTGCTGAGGATCCAACCCAGGCCTCACACATGGAGGCGATTGCTGTACCACTGAGCCACAACCCCAGTTCCCACCCACCCCCAACCCCCAACGGCTTTTTATAGGTTGGAAAATCTTAGAGGAGAAGTTGCAAATTTTCATCCAAAGGTCCAAAGCCCCAAAGTGCCTGATTTGTTAAACATATTTTTTATATGTTCATGTGTCTGGTCAAAAGGATCCAGACCATCACAACTACTTAAGACCAAATCCATCTGATTTTTGTTTTAAACACTCATGATTTCATCTAATGGCATGGAAAGGTGTTTCTAAGATATGGTGTTGGATACAAAAGAAGGTTATAAAACTCAGAAATATTACGATCTAATTTTAATTTAAAAAAGTCTTTATTTAACCATATGAAGTCATGCATATATATGTATGTGTATGTGCACACATACATAAATATAACTTGTCCTAGTTTCTTCTAAGTGTTAAGATGATGATGATGTGATAACAGTTAACTCTTACATTTTTTGTTCTTACTATTTACCAAGAACTGTGAAGATAATACCTCATTTAGACCTAATAACAATCAAAGCAGAGAATTCATACCATAGGAAAATTAAGATTCAAACTGAGGCAGTCTGGCTCCAGGGTCAGACCACCATGGTTTGACCATTACCATGGTTAACCACCATGTAATACTGCCTTATACGTCATTATAAATTATTTTATAATGTTAACCATACCAATTAACTCATGTATACATTATTATAAAAGTTTTATTAAATATTCTTGGGTGGATATTGTGATGAAGAAGAAATTACTAGAAAGGGGACAAAGAGGCTGGTCAAAAAAGCTTAAATTATCTGGAATTCGGCTTTCTATCCTCATTTTATGAGAATTTATAAATTATTTAAATTTGCAAACTAAAACAGGAATGCATTCCCTTTTTAAAAATCAAAAAATTCAAAATAAAGACTTATTTGAACACCAACTCTATTCCTGGTACATTACTTTTCTTCTTCAGGCTTACCAAATGATATCAATTTACTATGTATTTTTCAGATCGGTGTGAGGGCTTTTTGTATGATCACAGATACATATGCAAACATATATAGTTATTACTGATTTGTTAAAAATTTGTTTTCCCACATCTTGAATTTTTTCTATAAATATATACTACAGGATAAACTAAAAAATGTTCATCCTGTTTCTAGGAGCTGTGCAATCCAGGGTAAGTTTCCATTATTTGTCTAGGCCACAGTTTCCTCTTTACAAAGTATAAAATTCAAGGCTCCTTCCTCATTAGGTGTTGTTAGAACAATAATGATAATGTAGTAAAGTACCAATACAGTACCTGAGCTCAGTGAAGGGGGCTCGTTAGTTTTGATTTTTTATTCATGTTTGGAAACTCTCTCCAAGGAATGCTTTATGATTATTTCCTGGTTTTTATCCCTTCATGTTTTAAAGTTGATTGGCTGCTAGGAAACGAAAAACAGAAGACCCTAGGATCAAGAGTTTCAGGTTTAGAACTCGCTATTTACCTTAAATATTTTAACCAAGAAATAAAGACAATGATTTAAAGTTTAAGCTCAACTATACCGTTAACTACTTTTATGATTTTTTTTTCCAGTGATAGGGTTAGAATCCAGGAATTCTAGCATTCTAGGCAAGTGCTCCACTACTGAGCTACTCTCCCAGTTTACAATTCCTGGTTCTTCCTTCTATTCCATTCCTTCTATGGCCATTTCATCATGAGAGAAGGAGAAAAGTGAGAGTGACCTAAATTTAGTTTTTCTTCTGAAAGTAATCAGAAAATTTGGAAAGATGAGCTTTAAGCTAATAGTTAACATAAATATTTGGCTTAAGAGTTCCATCTTTTCTCTATTAGAAAAGGGAATGAAAAATAGGAAATTATCCTTTATATGGCATACGATGTAATATCAGTGTTCTGGTACATACATTATACTTATGATCTCACTTTAGCCCAGGTTACAACTGGAAGTGGTTTAATAAGTTATGTGCAATAGTGCATGCCTATAGTTCCAAATATTCAAGAAGCAGGAGGATCACTTAAGACCATGAGTTTGAGGCCAGCCTGGGCAACATAGTAAAACTTCTTCTCACACAAACAAAATAAGTAAATAAATGTATAAAAAAGAATGAGTTTGAACAAAGGCCTTTCTGAACCTCCTGTTAGCCAGGCCAGGTAGCTTATATTTATCTCTACTGTAGAACAATGTACCTATAAACAGGTACCATAATATCAAACATTTGTAAAGCACTTTTCATAAAATTCTTTGTCAATTTATACTACTTCTTTCCTCCACAACCCAATCTTCAAGAGAAGTTATTATTTTCCAATTAAAGTCAAGAAAGAAAGTAAAGCGGAGAGTAATATAATTATTTTGTCTATAATCACAAATAGCAGTACCAAGAAGATTAAAGAAACACCCAAGGCTTTCTAAACACTGCTTCTTTCCTAAGTTAACAAGCCTTTTTCAAAGACTGATACATACTTTTTCTCTCTTCTGCCAAACTTATTTTAATTGCTTAGCTTCACGGACTGGTTTTTCCAAAAAAAAAAAAAAAAAAATTCATTTCATAATATAAAACCTTATAATTTTTTACAATAAGTTTTCTCTCCAAATGAATGGCTATTTTGTAAAATTAGATTCAAAGAGAAATTCAGGTTTATTTAATAAATGTTAAATAATGTAACCATAATATAATAATGGCTCTAGTTAGAAAATATTTATAGGTAACAAAAAGAACATGTGCAAGTTATCAGTCATAGAATAGGCATCGAATAAATGTTAAATGAATGAGTTACTTCAGTTACAATATCATATTCTGCCTGATTTCCCTGCTTTTAACTGGAAGGTATTGACACTTTCTGTACAGCAGCTGTGAAGAAAAGGAAAAAAAAAAAAAGCTAATATAAATTGGCAAAGCATTTTCAGATACAAGGGGTATGCTGGTAGAATCTGTCTATAATGCTATCTATTCTAAGAAGAAACTTTATAAAACCTGGAAACAACCAGTCAGAATCATCGAATTGAAAAACTATGTGGAAAATTAGCTTAAAGTCAAAATGCTGGTTTGTATAAGAAAAATAATGCTGCTTTCCTGACGGACTAAAAGTTTCTGAAAAGCTTTTGACAACTAAGTTTAACTTATTCTGAGAGCATACACAGACTACCTTGAGGAAATCGTAATTGGTACTAAAAAAAGACCTTGTCTCTATATAAATAAAGATCCAAAATCTGATACTAAAAGATGAAAAATGGGGTGGAATTCCCAGAATAACAAAGTAAGGAGTGCTATGGACCCCCTCTCCAGCAAATCTATTTTTAACTGGTGAAAATTATTTTGAAAAACAAACATTTGGACGCTCTGGAATTGTCCTAAGGACATGTAACAAATGGAGAAACATCCATTCAAAAAAACTGGCTCAATCTCAGAACAGGTGAACACCTATGACATCTGAGTTATGTATGATCTGCACCACTACTTCATTCCACCAGCTCTATTACCTCTGGCATATGTAATTCCTCTCCCTCCACCTCCCCAACTGTGGAAGTATATTTTCTAAAATACTCAATTTTCCAAAAAAAATTAGGAGACATACAAAAAGAAAAAAAAATGAAAATATGACCAATAAGCTGAGATAAAAGTAGCTAGAAGCTGACAAGATGGTGGACTTAGCAAAAACTTTAAAGAAGTTATCACAAATATGTTCAAAGGATTAAGTAAAAGCATGCTTTTAAAAGCATTCCCTTCAAGGATTAAGGGAAATAAATGATATCAATGTTTGAGCATATAGAGAATATCAATAAAGAGAAATAAATTATTAAATACTACCAAAAAGAAATTCTGGAGACCAAAGGCTGAATATTTTCTCTGATATGCAGGGATGCTAATTCACAATAAGGGGGGCGGGGTACGAAGAACAGAGATACTTTGGATTAGACAGAGGGGAGTGAAAGAAGGGGAGGGAAAAATGGGGAGAGGGATGATAGTAGAATAAATTGGACATTATTACCCTATGTGCATATATGATTACACAACTGTTATGACTCTATATCATATACAACCAGAGGAATGAGAAGCTTATACTCCATTTATGTATGCTGTGTCAAAATGTATTCTACTGTCATGCATAAGTAATCAGAACAAAAACTAGCTAAATAAAAAATTTTTAAAAAATTATGGAGTTCAGAAATACAATAGCCAATATAAAAATGTCACCAAAGAGGCTCAATACTAGATGGG